GTCTGTCTCTTGACAGGGCAGAAGCTGGAAGGTGACGTGCAATGTCACCCTCTATCTTTAGTCATTTACTTGTCAGCTCGCATTAAGGAAAACAGTTTCAGACTCTGATCAGTGAGTTTTTTCTTAACGTTGCAGTTTCCATGTTGCATCTGTATTTTTTGTTTTTAAAGGAAGTAGAAGACTGCCTCTAGGAAAGTCGTCTTAGTGTGCAAAAAAAGAAATCCTCAAAGCAAAACATGCGAAGTGAAGATATACAAATTAGGTGAAGGTGTCAATGCAGCGACTCGAGTGGCAGCCTTCTCGCTCCACGCTGTGCTTGTGAGCCATGAAGAACATTTTGTAACTTGTGACTCAGATCACTTTGCCGACCCTGATCCATTATCAGGCAGTGTCCGTCATTGTGCTCATGTGATTACAACACCAATGTCTCCTTCAGCTGCACAGAACAGTCTGCTGCAGGTTGTTTATCTGGGACAAATGTTGAATGATTCTTATGTGGAAACTCACGACAAATGACTAAAACCACTACAGCGTATTGGAATGCGGTTTGTTCATATACAAAACAGAGCATGAATCATATTGTGAAAGTTATTTCTGAATGATGTATTCTGTATTTTAGTCCAGACACATTGTTCTGATTTTCTTCTTTTTTTTCCAGGGCTAATCTTTAAAGGACAAAGGCTGGTGATATCCTGTTCTGGTCAATGAACCCCATGAAAATACTGAAACCAATGAGTTGTTTCTTCTAACAATTATTGTCTATGTAGCAAAAACATGATAAAGGTTACACCAAAAACACATAAACGTACCACATCGTTGCACCGGGTGACATATTCCTTCATTGCCATGAACATGGGCACTGTAGCTTTGACTCAGTCACACCTCCACCATCCTCCTGCCAGAAATGCTCACTAGAGCACAAAATGTACATTAATTTGTCACTGGAAATAGTCCACAACAAATACATGATTTACTATTTTTTGAGCCAAGTTTGACAAAAAAAAAAGAAAAAAAAAGAAAGAAAAAAACTAGTGTCCGGCTGTTTGAGAAAATTACAGGGCTTTTTATAAAAAAGTGAAACTCTTTATTTGTGAGCCATTTTTTAAAGATTTACATCTGTGTGCTTGTCAAAGTTGCCACGGACAGACTAATGAACTGTCTTTATAGTCTTTTCATGGCATTTGTTGACAATAAAAAAAAAAGTTCAATTACCTCATACTTTTCAGTTCGATTTAATAAATGAGCTCCACTCCTCGACCACTCAAAGCACTTTACACTACGAGCCACATTCACAGTGTTTTTTCTATGCATTCAGCGCTTTTCTATCACACAGTCACACACTGATGATACCTCGGGGAAATATATGGGTTCAGTATCTTGTCCAAGGACACTTTGGCATGCGGACTCGAGGAACCCGGGGATCGAACCACCAACCCTCTGATTACCTACCTCCTGAGGCGCAGCTGCAGCAGCGACTTTTTCAAGAATAGAAAGAAAACAGCGATCATCAGTGTTATTATTATTTGTTTGCATATAAAATATTTTATTCTAAACCTTCTGAAAAGTTTGTCATGATTTGAGGAGACATACATTAAGATATTAACATACTGGAAACACATGGTTGCCATTAAAAAGGAAAGCCTGGGACTATAGACACATTCGATCTATAAGAATTGGAAGTAACACTTAAAAGTAGCATGCAACACTTTTTGATTTTTTTTTTTTTTTTTTTTCTAAGATGTGCATGTGTGTACATGACCTGTCACATGTATACTGACAATTTCTTACAGATGGATTTATTAGAAATGTAAAAGTTACAGAGACTTTCATTGACATAATGGGCCTCATTTAAAAAGATTATCATGCATAAATTTTAGGAAAATGACCAAGTCCAAACCATGATAACACTCTTATTTATCATTATGACCATAATTGGTACATAATCATGTTTTTATGGCATCAGGTGCTAAATAAACGAGGACCAGTGGCTTTAAGAAGCCTGTCGTTGTGTTCACATTATACCCACTGAGCTAATTGAACTTGCGGACATAAATCACAATGTTAAATCATGAATGTGCTTACATTCATAATGAGGCTCATCTCTTCCGTCATGAATGGACAGATACATTCAGCATGCTTGAACTGGGATTTGATGCACGCAGACTTAATTAAAAACTGTCACCCTGGGAAAAGGAGAGGATGACATGTGAAAATGCTTGTGTAGGTGGGACATGAAATGAGTTTCCTCAAGCCCCAAATGCGCACGTACATTCATGCACGTACACACTTACTGTAAACAAAATAATGCACATGTATCCTCACATGTGGCCTTATAGGCCTGACACATCATGTAACGCTCCATTGACAGCACTCGACTTTCTGCAGCACTGACAGCTCGACTCTCAGTGACTGTCAATCACACCGACTGGGGAAAAAGTAACAGGACAACTTTTAGGGGCTTTTGCTTTGAGCAGCTGCACTAAAGCTTGGATAGCTTCCCCCCCAGGCAGCTCAGCATTAATGTACTGGTGGTCTTTCCTTCATTGTGTATTGCAAGTCAGTTTGTTGTGATGCTATTGATTGCTTTTCAGAAACACAATAAAAAGAACAATGCTATTTTTAGTTTCATATCCTTTCTCTTATTTTTGGCGCAATCTTTGACTTGATTATACATGACAGCTGATGACCTGACGGTACAGTTGTTCAACCTGCACAAATCGGCGCTCATGCTTAAGGAGGTAGACCAGTTGTTAGAGCCTTTCAAGGAAACCATCAGATTCAGACTAGAAAAAGAGAGCAATCCTGTAACCTTATTATACTGTTCTGGATTGGGTTGCATCAGCTCAATTGCTAAATTTGTGTGTCCTTAAATTCTCCAACCACTGGCTGGTTTCATAATAGTGATTTCTAAATTGGCCGTAAAAATATGGCACGTCAAGTGTGTCAACCTAGTACTGTATAAATCCAGTGTAGAAGGAGTGGGAAATATCTGATGCTAACTTAGCTGATGTTATTTGTTTATTTAGGCTAACGTTAGCCTATTGGTTTAACATTTTGCAATTTGAGCCATGTAGTTATTTTTATGAAAATTTTTAAATCTGTTAAACATCATTATTAGACAGTCACTTTTCTGGTCTGGTATGTCCCGTTATCTCTTTCAGTGTTTTTTCTAAATGGGTCATATATTAGCCCGTTAACGTTTGGTTCAGTTAGCTACATCCCAGTTACACCTTGCAGTTACTGAGTGTAAATGTTGCGTAAAAACTTATCTCTAATTTGTTTGGTGGAACCTGTTTTGATTTAATGATGTATGAATCTCTACTTAAACACTTCAGTTATAACTAGGCTGTTTAAATTTAGAGCTGGTGCAACCGGCTCATTCTGCGACACAACACAAACTCTTTTCCAATAAATTTAACCCATAAATCATAAATAACACGTAGACTTGGTTTTCCACATGACTTACTGTCTTTTAAGACACACTGTATTGTAAAGGTGTTTTGTAATGCTACAAACTGAAAAAAGCACTATCAAATGTGTTGAATACTACAGCATATCATGCTGCTTAAAAGCACTGAATAACACCCTAAGACACACAATCCAAACCTTTCAACTGGGAGACCCCAGAGCCTAAGATATCCTCCATAACGGCATGAAATGCAATGTGCTTCCAGAAATATCTTGAATAAAAAAAATTAGACCCACTTAAAATGCAACAATCAAAATGTATATTTAGTATCAAGAATCAGAGTGAGATTCTTGCCGTTTTCATGATCTTTGTCGACACCAAACCAGCGGCAGAGAAGCATTTATTTAAATCAATTCTTCAATTTCTATCTGATGCAACTCACTCACCTCTAAAGTCTCGATAATTGAGTCACTGCAGTGATATACAGTAAATAAAGGGTTTTGATGGTGTACATTCAGTATTGGCCAGACATAATGGATCTCATCTTTATCAGTTGAGGAAATATTCCCCATCTCCCTCAGTCATGAAAAGCAGTAAGGTAAAGATATGCTTCACAGCCCCAGAGCTTTCATTGCTACAGTACCATACGCGCAGGGACTTTGTTGACGCACCAAGCTCTATGTTTCAGTTTAATAATAAAAAATAAAAAAAACCCTAAAAAAAAACAGGGAGAGTGGGGTTTGATCAGTGAGCCTGGCACTGTGTGGTTAGCGTGACTATCTCAGCACATTAAGACTGGTAGTAAATACCTAAAACGCACTGCCTGACACAGAGGTGACATTGTTCCAGTTATTAATGATCTCTCGAGAAGCAGTTTCTCCTCTCACGTCCTCATAAAATGGGTTAAATAAAAGTGTCTGTGCCCTCTTCTTCGTCATACTGTTTTTCCAAGATGCCTCCTACATGTCTTTTATTACTACTGTGCTCATAAATAAGTATGAGTGGACAGACACGGTGTTGCTCAGTCTTTCATGCGTCACCATCCTCACATGTTCAGTGTGGTTTTCAGTAAGGCACAAGTGGGTTATTCCTTCAGATAAACGCTGTGTGCCAGTCATGAAGGAACAAAAATGTCAACATTCGTCTCTTTAGTGAGGGCAGACTGACTGGTGAATGCAAGGCATATAAATTCATACTGTAAGAAGTGTAAACGAAAAAAAAAATCCACAGTCTGAGTATTTGTAGTAGTGAGGGTCCTCTTTATCTGATGCAGATTTTAGGGCCTCTGGAAATTCAGCAGGAGATGAGCACAGATACATCTATTGCTTTCTAAGTTTGATGAATGTATTTATTTCTGTGTTTACAGGCTTTTTATGATGGTATATGAGAAGATGAAGTTGCTACCTCAATATGGGCTTTCATTTCCCTCCTGCTCAGAGAGAAGTTTGTGAAACTCCTGCCTCTTATACAATCTCTTTTTTTTCCCAGTCAGGCGCACGCTTCTGATCGGGCTCAATCACTAACACAGCCGTCGATCATGTTGGTACAGACATAGTGAAAAGAAGTTGGAACTTCTGCGCTATCACACCGTGCATGATTTTTTTTTTTTGTGTGAGTATTAAACACACACATGAAAGTATGGAGCTTGACGACTGATCTGTGTTTAAGTCACTCTCAAGGTTTTCAATCAATGATTGGAGCACAATCCACTTGACGAACGCGTATGAGTACCTTATCATTGACGCTCAGTCAATAAGCACACCAGTGTTTATTATGTGTGCTGTACTAGATGTGTTTCACTCAGTTCCTTAAAGCTCATTTCCTGCTGCTCTTCATTTGAGAGTTTCGATGATGGCGATCTCCCGCCTGTCGGCGTAGTCTGGGCTGAGGCCGTTTAAATAGAGGCTGCCGTTCCTGGCCAGGGCCCCTGGGACGGGACTGAGAGAGAGAGTCAAGTTGGGGTAAGTCTCTCTGTCCTCACACAGGTTGGCCGACAGCGTCCTCTTGCCAGGGGTCATTTCCTGGTTGATGGCTGTGTTAATGCCCAGCTCGGATGACAGCTTACGTTTGATGGATGCAGCGCGCTGAAACTTGTCATAGATGTCAACGCTGAGCCGCCGCCGGGTCTCTTTGAACTCTGCTGACACATTTGCTGTCCACTCGGCTGCGTGAGCGCGAAACTCCCCGACCTGCAGAGAGAGAGACTGAAAATTGATGCCTGCAGGTGATCGAACACAAACTATTCCTCCCTGTAATGTCCATGTGTGCTACATTTACACCTGCTGTTAGTGTGGTTTAGCTTGAGAAAATGTCTGCTGATTTAATGTTGTCTGGGTAGTATGCATGCAAAAGACAGTTGGAAGTTTGTGCGGATTGATTGATTTTTCATGAAATGATAACCGATGTCTGGAAATAAAATTTAAAAAAAGTCAGAGGTGTGTTGTAGAAAATTTCAAATGTAATTCAAAGCATATAAAATATGCAGTTCAGAGGCCAAAAGTATGATCTTTTAAAATTTTAATCAAGAAACATATTCATCTTTAAATTCTTTGCAGGTGCTGAGAAACAGTTATGTGCACAAAGAGACACCTGCACATTTAACTGAGGCCATGAAGTGCTGAAGGTGAAACATTTTCATAGCTCTGTAGAATAATGGACACTGGAAAGTGTGCTGGTATTGTCTTTATGAGCCTTTTTAAACTGTTAAAGCTAAACATGCACAAAAGCCATGTCTTTCTTTTTGAATAACCTAAATGTGAACCGCTGACCGATAATTAATGTTCACTCTTTTGAACAAAAATTCTATGTCCATTAATCTCTTTGACTATTTAACACCTCTTGCCGTGACCGTTCTTCAATGTCTCTGCTGCTCCCCAATTAGTCCATGACAGAACTCTATAACTTTCATCTATTCTTTGCAGTAAATGCTCATCTATCATAAAGGTCAACTGCAGACCTGGAGATTTAAAATAAAAATAGAAATTAATAACTGAGGAGAATGTTTTGGAACTGATGAGATGAGTTACCTGCTGTTACCCTGGGGCATCTTCTGCCATGCCCTCATCTTTGGTGCTTGCCTAACCTGAGTTGCCCCCCCCTCCCTGTGTGTGTGTGTGTGTGTGTGTGTGTGTGTGTGTGTGTGTGTGTGTGTGTGTGTGTGTGTGTGTGTGTGTGTGTGTGTGTGTGTGTGTGCCCATTTCGTTCTTGTTTGTTTCCCTGAACTTATCCTGCTCTCCGCCTCCCTACAGTCCAGTCTTCTCTGACTGTTACCCCAACTCACCTGCTCAAGCCTGCTGGTCTACCTCTGCCCTGTGGCTTCCCTTTCGATCCTTGCTCGATCCCTTCCCCCTACTCCCCACTGCTCTCCCTCCAGCCTCAGTGTCCAGCTCAAGCTACCCTCCCAACCAGAAACCGGCGTCTCTTCCCTGTGCACAGCAATAAATAACTTAATTCCTGTCTGTGTTTGCAATGGTTCTGCTGCCAAGCACCTGCCATTCAGCATCTGCTCGCCTTCTTGATGAGAGTTAGTCTATAACTTCCATAAAATCTTAGAGCCATTATTAAGTAAATACTTACTCATAGAATAATGGGAATTACTAATAAAGCTATTTGTGAATTAGAGCTGATTTTAGGTTTGTGTTGTGATTTCAGCTTTGCTCTACAGATGTGACAAGGTGTAGACATGTCCGCACCTTACTCACCCATCACTTCACTGGTAAGGTTTATTTTAAACCAGGAGCCTCAAGCAGTAAACAAGAAATGACCTATGTGTGTGAGCAGTGTGTGACCCAGCAGCCCAGGTTCCTGGAGACTATATACTGTATCCAGTATGAACAGTGTTTGTTCGTGTTCCTTGAGAGGAGAGGAGCGAACACATCATTGATCTCACCTTGATAATGCATTAGGTCTCCATGCTGTTTATTTATCAATTGGACTTCAAGGTTTTGCTTGTTTAGAGTGGACTTCTGAGCGCTTACGTTAAAATTCATCGCGTGTGTGTCTGTATGTGTGTGCATGTACAGCACAAACACTTGAGTGTGTGCTGTCTCTTCTCACTTTCTCTGCCTGCTCATCCGCATAACCCCACCACCCCACGCTCCCAAACCCCCTAGCCTTCCACCGCAGCCGCCTCTCACTAATGCAATTCTCTCTAGAGCTCACAGCCTCCACAGCTGTACTAATTATGCCTGTGAAAGGATTCCCTCTGCAGACTGCCATATAGCCCCTCCTGCCTCACCCACCACCCTTTTTATGTTACATAGAATAAAGAAATAAGATGAGCATGTGGTTGGTTTATGCAGGAGTGTGTATGTGGACGCACGGCTCTTTTTCTTTTTATATGAACCTGCCAGAACAGCAAGGGCTCTTATTACTCAGCAGCAGCTACTGGAAACACCAAATATTTAATCCAGCCCTTGTATGAGAGGGTATTTACTCCAGAGGGCGTAGCTGGGATGGAGATTCATCACTATAGATTTATGGCCTGAAGAGTGAAGTGGAAAACCCTGTGAGGTATTACTCTCACTATGAGGGGAGGGTGGATGTGATCACACCTGTGAATTTACTGCAAATGTTCCTCCACCTACAATATATATCTGTCATATGGTGCTGGTTAGGCTGGTGAAGAGGAGTGTAGGGTGCAACATAAAGCAGCAGCAGCAGCATGAAGTGGTTTAATGCAGGTGGAGTTGCTCTGGTGTGTTACCTCTGCAGCTAAAGCTGACAACATATTTCATATTTTGAGCATGTTTTTATTTCCTATAAGCAGGATTTGACCTCTCCGTCTCTCTTTTGTCACTGTACTTCCCTCACTTCCATTTGTGGAGTGATGGTCTGAAAGTGGGTGCTGCCAGCTCCATTTCTATGATTCACTGTGCCAAGACTATAAAGACATGTAAACCCCACAGAATTTGGGGGTTCACATTGAGAATGGGACACAACATTTTATCAATTCTGTAATGGGATTAGGATGGGAAAGGGTTATTTTTGTGGGAGTGGGATGGGACAGGAGGTCTTGACCGCACTTAAAATACTGACTTTAATGAAGGGAAATATGATTCTGGACTGAAATATCTTTGGTCTTGAGAAAACAACACTAGGTCAAAACTTAAGTGTATGGCTGGACCATGTATGGTTAATGTGCAAAATAGTGGACATAGATGAAAACTGCTGTGGAACTGCTGTAAACAAGTGACATCATTGCGCTGTTGTGGTCCAGACAGAAATTTAAGTTTATCTGGATCTTTATCAAAAAAAAAACAAAAAAAAAAACAAAACACACACACACAAAAAAAAACACTCCAGCAACTGAATACAAGGCTAAAATCAGGCATTCTCTAACTCCCAATATCCTCATCACATTTCTGTAAAAAAAACCCTCCAAAGTGAAATTCATTTTTTTTCTTCCTGTAGTGGAGAGAGGTTTCTTATCTTGCACTTCTGTCACCTCTAGAGTGACGCACAGCATCACGTACCTCCTCCTTAGTTTTCTTGGAGATGACACGGAACCAGTCTCCGATCATGCTGAGCACAGCGGCAAAGTACGCAAGGCCCACCAGGATCCAGAACAACACCACGGGCTTGTAGTAGTTCAAGTAATCTGGACTCTCTGACCCACCTGCAGAAACAAAAATGAAGCAAGTGCGGTATAAGATTCTGTTACATCACCCTGTATCAACTGTATCCTTATGAGAGAACAAAGCCAGGCAGGGCTGATACAGTCAGTTAAGTCAGTTGAGAAAAACAGTTCTTTAACTTTCAATATTGTATCATTTAATGAGCCTTTGTCTTCCCATTTCATGTCTCTCTGCAGGAGGATGGTCATTAATTGCCCCTGAGCTTTATGGGTAGGATCATTTTGTAAGAATAAAAAAATAGAGGGCTGATAATTTTGAGACCAATAAGTAAGAAGAAAATTGCACAATACCACACATAGAATAAAATATTCAGGGACTGTTAAATTTCCTTGGAAATTTGTGTTACCTTGGTGCTCTAATAATGAACAGTGGTAAATGTTCATAAAGTAACAAGGTGGAATCTTGACTGTAAACTTCTAGATTTGATCGTACTCATAACACATAGGTCATAGGCCAAATACTTTCTTCAGTAAGATAAAAACATGTTATTTTTATGTTATCTTATGACAAGGACTGAGTTGGCTATTCACATAAAAATAATATTCAGTTACCTGGCGAGTTTTGATGAGGGAAGAAGGTTTATCAGGATGAAAGTTGAAGGTGCCCTGAGGCCATTACCGGTGCTATGGTTTTTACGATTTGATCCCTGCTCTGTTTATAGTATATGCACGCATGAGGGTGGTACAAATCACATTGTCTTCACACTTCTCTGTGATATTTAGATAAAGGAATAGATATCGATATTAGATGAGTAGATGTATCTGTAAAATGTCTGAGAAAGCACCTGAAGCCGTACCTAGGTGCACGTTACATCAGCTGCTTGGATTTACTTAAACGTTACCAGTACATTAAAATGCCGTCTCAGCTCGCACCATGTTCTGTACTGCTGGATGAGCTCTTAAAACATATCAACTGGGATGAAGCAGCAGAGGCAGCCTGCTCGCTGTGCAGTAAGATAACCACCCCTCACAGCACCAGTTTAACTAACAGCAGTCCAGGCTGATTAGTTTACTGTAACTACAGGGGTTGGCAGAGGTGGTGTAATCTAATCTATAATCATTAGGCCTGCTCAGGAAAATTTAATTTAGCAGCTAAGTGTTTGTGATTTTTCCCATCTGCCTCTCCATTGTTGACTGTCAAGCAGGTCACATCAAGCTAATACCACCTGCTCTCTCTCTCACACACACAAACAAACACACACACACACACACACACCCACACACACACACACACACACACACACTCAAAAAGGTGTACGCATGCCCAGTCCCTCTAGTTCTGTCTTGTTTTTCTCACACACACACTCACACCCACCCATTCTTATATTTAGTGTGCACAAAGTATACTATTATATATATTACAGATATTATATATCCTCTCTAATTAAAAATGTTACACTACTAAATGTATTATGTATGTTTTAATTGAAAAAACTTCATACTCAAATCATGTTGTCATAGCAACATGTAATGGCTACAGGGTCAAGGAACAGTTCAACATGTAGAAAAATATTAGCTTTCTTATTGAGAGTTAGATGAGAAAATCATCACTACTGTCATGTCTGTATAGTAAATATGACACTACCACCAACAGCCGGTTAACTTAGCTTAGCTTAGCATAAAGTTTGGAAACGGGAAACAGCTGGCCTGGTTATATCAGATGGTAAGAAAAATTGCTCAACAGCACCTCTAAAACTCTTTAACGACTCTGTTATTTCTTGACCGTTTTATCCGTATAATCCACAGCAACTTCTGGAAACTCCACCTATTGCCAGGCAACTGTTGGAATTTACGTTTTTACTGTCTGCTGTCTGTATCGATTAAGAGATGCTAGTGATTGAGTTTTGTTACTGCTCAGGCTGCAGGCTAGCTAGCGGGCTTCCCGCGTTTCCAGTCTTTATGCTAAGCTAAGATAACTAGCTGATTATTTACCACACACATATAACTTCTCATCTAAGAAGAAAGCAAATGAAATGTCAAACTATTCCTTTAAATGTAAGGGGTGGGTTCGCTGTACATGCTTTAGTTTTTGCTAGCATCTGATGGCTCTGGTAAATGTGTATGAAAGTGAAACTAAGGCATAAAAGGAGAACATTTGTGTAATTTATTGTATTCAGTTAAGTGTTATTTGCCTGGTATCATTATGGCTGCTTAATAATATTACGGTTTAAGAAAATGGTTTAACAGATGGCAGTGCTAAACACAGCTACAAATGCATTGGAAGAACTGTCAGAATACATGTTTCATAATGTGAAGCACAGAATGTAATAGCAGGCCAATGGGAGGCTTATCACTGTGATGCACATCTGTTGAGTCACACTGACTCAACTGGGAATAACTCGACTATAAAAGCAGTGGTTTTAAAGTGAGTGCCAAACATTAAAATGAAAGACGCCCAATAAGTACAAAAGAAAATAAAGTGACCTTTTTCACCAGCGACAAAGTCTCCAAAGCCGATGGTGGTGAGGGTGATGACAACAAAGTAGATGGACTCGAGGGTGCTCCAGCCTTCTATGTGCTTAAAGATGACTGCTGGCAGGGCCACGAAGATGAGGCACCCAAACAGGATGAAGAGTAGAGTGGAGATGACGCGGATCTTTGTCTGGCTGACTTTCCATTTCTGTAGGGAGATAAAATGAAAAAGGAGATAAATTCCAGATGAATAAAATACACTTTTTAATTAGTAGGAGAGAGAGGCGAAGGCTTGAAAGAAATTCAATATTCAACAGGAGTGTAGAGGCGATGAATGCTTGAAATTTAATAGGGTTAATGGTTTAGTGTTACCATCCAATGTGATTAGTGGTGTAGAAATCTCTTTCATCCAAATACAATCAAGAATAAAATGTTTTCTTGTTAAAATAGTGGCCAACATGAATATTTTTTCTGTTTAGTCCACAAGTATACCAGTGATTTCCTGTAGTATATGACCTTTTCACAAATGACTGTGGAGGAAATTAACACTTGAAAACACGCTGCCTATTTCCCTCTCTCTGATTTCCCATAGGCTTTTTTCTTTTCTTTTCTTTTTTTTTTTTGCTCACTTCACATTGTGATGAGTCACTTCCTTTGACCTCCTTTTAGGAATACATTCACCGTTTTCTCACATCTCAAACGTCAGGCTGCCAAGCTTGTGTGACATAACTTTCACTGTCAGATGGAATGCCCACCCGAGCTGCAGAGAGGTGGCACATGACTTGACACGCCTCACATGTGTAATAATATCAATGAGTGATCAAATATTTCAAGTGCAGTCTTAGTAACAGATATCCTGGGATTCATTATAGTTGCAGCCCGTGCTATCAACTGTAATCACGACAATTTAACTTAGACGTGAGCCTTGCTCAGTCCTGCTGACGTGAGCCTCTTTTGCATCACATTTCCAGTACATTAGAGTGTGTTCTGTATCCTGCTGCGTTTTCACTTGAGGTGACTGCTTTCAGCTGGTTCCCTGTGTTTCGTGCCCTTTTCCCTTCCCGTTATGTAAGCCCAAAGCACAGTGACTCTGGGGTGAAGAACAAACTGCTGTGTCTAAGGTCCTCGCTTCACTATGCAAAGTGGTGGAGTACAGTTTACAGATACCTACAGGAGCCTTACAGGCCCAAATTAGCCGCAGACTAAACATTAATGTATTCCAAAGGGACTGGTGAAGCTGAGGTGGTTTCTCAGCTATTAACTGCACTACGCAGCAATGACTTCAGCAACTGTTACAGTTAATCAATTTCCATTGTTCAAACAAGCTGCCAACCTCTCTCCTCCTCCCCGGGGGGAGAGGCCACAGAGACAACAATGAAACAAAATCCTAATTTACCTGTTGCCTCCTAGTGTCTGGTTTTTATTTGGTTTTGATAATTAGTTTCCTGAATGATTGAATCATGAGATCATTTTCTCTCCCTCATTTTGGCATATTTCATTATTTAAACAAATGGCACACTTGCAACACATTTGTGAGTATACAAGAACCCTGACAACCCACTGACACCCACAGATGGTAACGGCCACTCACCATCTAATGAACAAAAATGTGCATCTGCATTTCTTTTTTTTCACCTTTTTGAGTGTCACGCTGTTTTTATAGAAATTCAGACAGGCTTCATTTGCAAACCATCTAATGGCTCAACAGTATTATATTCAGGAACTCATTACAGTGTACCTATATGTTCCCAACACATCTCTGTGCTCAGCTGACTCTGACATCAGCTGTAACTGCTCCTCATTTCAGGACAAAAGCTGACATGCATTTATCTCATATGTCCCCAGACACTACAGAACACTCTGCCTATTAGTACGAGGATGTATACAACACACACCTTTTTAAAAAAAAAAAAAAAAAAAAAAAAAAAAAACACAATTTTTCTTTCTTGTCTTTTCCTTTCAACATCTAATTTAAAGGTTATTATTGATTTTGTGATTTATTATCATCCTACTAGACAAATTCATGAACCAGCTCCACAGTCTGTTGTATAAATGTATTTTATGAACAGCAGAGGTGTTTCTAGTAAAGAACCAATGAAGACAAGCAGATAACAGTTTATACAATGAGAAGGTAAAATATACTCAGTCTAGTTTAATGTTTGCTTGTTTTGTTTTTTTTTTGTGTAGAAGCTCATTGACAGTCACTGTTTCTGGCAGATATCGTCCTTATTGATTTGTGCACTGAGCAGCTGTTTGATTGCTTCTGTTTTTCAGGAGAAATGACTAACCATCAGCCAGACTGTGCTGCAGGGTCCATTTATACTCTGTGTCCAACATGAATGATGGCGCCCTCTAACTTTTCTTGCAGAACACTAGCACATGTGTTTGTTTGCATATTATTACTGTATGTGCTTCTATATGAACAGAATTCAATGTCTGACTTGCAGTGTGGTAAATAGGCCTACATCATTATTTCGGAGTGATGTATTGATCTGTGTGTGTGCTGCTGGTTTATTCAACTGCTATAAACTATAAAATAACACGACAAGAGGCAAGAGTCCAGTCAGTAAAAAAGGCAGAAAAAAACCCTTTCCTCGGCTGAGTTTTGAAATATGGCTCGAAAAACAACTGTAATTCACTGATCTGAGCTTTCAACACTGAAACAAACTGTCTGCATTTTATTTTGCTGTCCTAGAGTCTGTTGACATGGCAACCCAAAAACTGCATTTCCTTTCCATACCGCTGAAGTCTGAGGCAAAAAAACCCCTGCACTTTTGAATGTGAATCTTTTACCTGAGAATCTAGCGTCGTTTACATTGCAGCTACAACCGTGACACTTAGGAGCTGCAGTGCTTTATGGGAACAGCTCCAGCAATGGCGATGGCAATTTCACAGCTGCCTTTGCACTACCTGGATAATTAAGTTGTCAAATGTGTCAAAATTTAACAGCTCATTGCACACTAGTAAGCAAACAGAGAGCTGCAAATGATTCTCAGACAAAAACAAGCTCACATAAACAAAGCATCTCACCACTATCATCTTCTCCACTTTGGCGATGCCCTTCCCAAAAATTGTCCCCAACTGGTCCCCGACACCAGCCAATAAGAATCCAAATAGAGGAATCCCCAGCAGAGCGTAGATTATACAGAAGATCCGCCCTCCTTCCGTGTGAGGAGAGATGTTCCCAAATCCTGACAGAAAGAAGACACAGACAGAAAAAAAATACTTCAACAGGCAGCATTTATTGTGAAGGCCAGAGTATAGTGCTTATTTTACTTCAAAACTGTTTGTGCTGCACTTCTGCTAGTTTTACTTTGTCTATTCAATCTGTACTTTTTCCTGCGACGGCATGCATTTTCTTAGTTCCATTTGCCTCCTGCATTTTTGCTATATACAGTATACAGACTCTAAGTTTGTTGAGGCACAGACATCCTGTGAATGCTCTGCTTTCTGCAGTTATGCAGTAAGTGGGTTTGTTTCCCTTGGAAAAAGACCTCATGAATGCTTTGTTGCATGGAAGTTAAGCTAGTGCCTTACAAAAAAGCGCTGAAGCACAGTCCTGCAGAGTGTGGTCCTTGTCAGAGAATATTTTTGATGTAAAGTATATGTTGCATATACTTTGTCTTACTATGAACAATACTTTCATCAAAGCTGACAGAAGGACTAATTTGAGTTTAAACTAAACTTGCCAGACAAGGAAACTTTTCACAAAGCTTGACTGTGCTGTAACAACACTGCAGAGAGATACAACAGAACATAGACTGTAGAACAGCTTTAAGCGTATTGAAATCTCAGTAGCGTTAGATGGAAATCTGACTCAGACAAGACTTTATATTTCTCACCCTCTGTCCTTAGCAATTCTGACATTAATGAAAAATTGAAAAAAAGGAATGAACACCAAAATGAAAAGATATACAGTATGGTGTGCACAGGGCTTTGTATGTACACTCAGACAGAAACACACACAAAAACATGAGTCCATCACTGGTTCGCTGCCTTTCATCTTCTCTCCAAACCCATAATCATGTGCAGCTAGAAAAGCAGATGGGGCTTAAAAGTTCATATCCTGGTAAACAGAAACCTCCAAGACCTGTGCGTTACCTGTGCATAAACCTGACTCCACATTCAACAACACGTGTTTCATTATTTAACGTTACATAAGAGGTCTGCATAATGAACTCCATCCACTCTTCTTTATTAACGCAGTCATCCGTCTCAGGATAGGAGCTGCAGGGTACCTTCTAATGACTCTCCAGTCTCACATTGGAGTAGGCTGTCACTAAATGTGAGAGAAACTGTCAATCAAGTCTCACTGATTTCACAATTAGTTCAATGGGAGACAGGATGCTGGATTAGTTTTTAACACATCTGGGTGCCCACGCAGAACAAAGGAAAAACAGCAGCTTTCTAATTTGAAGATGTGCTTGTGTCTCTCTTTTAAATGAATCAATCAGATAAATTATTGTTTATATTCTCATCTCATCTCTCAATTCTATCACAATATCAGATATGAAAAGTAATTTATTTCATCTCTTTCATTTAATAATTATTCTCTTGTGATTCTAATTTTAGCCTCATTTCTGTCCAAATGAAAAGGTTACTGTCCTAAAACCATGAAAAGAGAGTTATCCAATCAGATTTTCTTTTTCTTTTTTTGTTGTCTCTAGGCAGAGAAAGGGTTAGCTGGTTCACTAATTGGCTTCGTAACCAGGACAGAAGGCCTGAAACCCCCACAGCTTTGTGTGTTTGTTTAGAAAGTGGCAGGTGAATTAACCAGACATATTTTGATTTATAGTAGTTGGGACCAAAAATCACTGCCCCAGGTCTTCCTGAAGGCCAGAGCTATCGCAGGGGGGAAATTGTCATCGGCTTTTGGAAAAGGTGTGCTCGCTGTCTTCACTTGACCCTCCAAGGGTGAAAACTGAACAGTGCATTGTGGGGACAAAATTTGTAAGAAACAAGCATGATCAAAGCCCCCCCCCCCAGCCGGAACTTGAAAAAATTGTTTTCATGTCAGAAGAAGTGAAGAAGAAGAAGTTGACAGACTGTCTGCAATGTCTATGGTTCTGTGTTGAGTTGAAGGCCCAGTTCTAATACTTAGGGTTCACCACTGATGGGTAGAACTGGTTTAAAGACACAATTAAATGTCCTAATCAAATATGATATAAATGATACAGAAAAACAGGGTTATATAAACATATGTATACATACAAAACAGAGTAAAATCGTATGTATTCAAGCAACACATCTATTCGTCCAAAGTTTTTGGACTTTTTCAACTTTAGAACACATTCTACTCTGTTCAGACACGTTTCCCTTAAATGACGCAAATGAAAAGTTAAACACCATGTAGATAATCAATAACAATAATTAATTCATTCGTTTCTCACTTGACTACAACATTTCCTGCATAAATAATACATGAACCTTAAGTTGTCCACTTCATACTGAGCTAATGCGTTGAAGTGAAAAACAACCAACCAACCAAACAAACATAAAGCCCATTTGACAGGAAGTAATGCGTCCGTTTGTACTATCTCTTGAAGGAATGACTGCAACTACAGCAATAGAAGCCGTCAATAGAAGCTTAATGACTTCCTTCTAAACTCATTAAGTGATGCTAGGAGAGAAAAATTGGCACAAAATTGACCTGAGTGACCTCATTAGCTTCTTTTAAAGGCAGAGTGGTTGTTTCTTGGTTTCATTTGCACTCAGACCCTGTCATGGTGGGTTTCGCGCAGTACTAAAGTAAGCTGATAGGGGAAACATTGTCTCATTGTTATCACCAGAACTACACTCCCTATAATTAGACACATTTGGATGTTGGTCACAGTGGATTTCACATTCAGATTCAAGAATAAAGATTAAAGACATTTTTCATGGTACAGTACATCACATTAAATGTTAAAATAAAACTCAGGACACTTGTGCTCCACTGGAAATAACTTTACAAAAGAGTCCAAGGGGGACAAGTGTGTAAAAATGATTTATAATGATTTTATCTTTTACATAAATGATGATTCATTCGAGATCTGTTTTGATCTATACACCACAGGGAATGTGAACTTCAGCAGGAATATAACAGCAGCTGAGACTTAACTAAGGAATCCCGTGGGGAGAAATGCTGTGAGATCAATCATTCATGCACCTCTTCTACTCCCAGGAGAGGGGAGGAAGGAGGAAGGAGCAGCAACAGCAGTTATTTCAGTTCATTTTCTGGATAAAGTATATAGATGAAAGTGTGTGTATGTGTGTGTGTGTGTGTGTGTGTGGGGGGGGTAACAAGCCTCAATATAAACAAACTGTATTGTCTGACATCTCTGCAGAAATAAAAAAGAATTTGAACAAAGGCTTTAGGAGTCGCTTCTCTGAAATGTGATTTGTTTGCACAGCAGCAATAACCACAAAATATTTAGTGCCAATCAGATAAAATTATGATGATTGCGGACAGACAGCATAGCAATTATATGCTGTTTATACTAACAAGCATCAAGTAATACACACAAAACATCTGGGAGTGAGATTTCTGCAGGAAAAACCTTTTTTTGATGTTTTATTTATTTTCCACAAAAGCAAACAAAACAAATCGATGTATATCAAGCAAAAGTAAAGCCATAGAGCTCTCCTTTTTCTCTGCCTCAGTAAGCAAACCGCCACGGCTCATTTCATGAGAAAACACTGCTACATGTACAAGTCAAACATCAGTAAATCTGCCTTGCATCAAGAGCAAGGTCAATTTCTGTAAATCACCGCAGCAGCACATGAGAGAATAACAGAGAGTCAACATACTCACTCTCAGGTGGGTGAAGGGAAAACCCACCGTGCAGCTTTTACACTGTGCCCACTCATGATTTCTTGAGTCTTATACAAAAGCAGAAATATGTTCCAAAAAATCAACTTATTGCAAGCAGGGAATGAGATCTGACAGGATCCTGGAGACGTGAAATGGAACCCAACAGCTCACCAAACACACAAGCTGATATGGAAAGGTTTGCTTGGACGAGCCAGATAAGACTAGTTGATTGTGTGTGTGTGTAGCTTATGTGTGCTGTTGCCAATTAATTCTTGCAGTTTTTGGTGAGTAGAGGTACAGGCTCAAGGTTGGTGCAGTGCAGCAAGATCTAGAAATCTTTTTAAAATGGTCTTAGCAAGTAGTAAGATCTAATAATCTGAAATACAAGCACACTCAATTTCCAACCAGAGAGCAAATTAATATTTTTACAAAGCGGGGCACTACATATTCTAATTGGAGGGTGAGCTCTGGCAGGATCCTAGAGATGTGAAATGGAGCCCGGCAGCCTACTGAACAGACGCACTGATCTGTCAAATGTCCGATAGGAGGGGCCAGATGAGCCGTCAGACTAGCTCTGTGTGTGTGTGTGTGTGTGTGTGTGTGTGTGTGTGTGTGTGTGTGTGTGTGTGTGTGTGTGTGTGTGTGTGTGTGTGTGTGTGTGAGAGAGCTGTTCCTTTTTCCTGATTAGTAAGCTCTTGCAGCTGGAGGTGACACAGAGAGCTATGGTGTAAAGAAGATGATGGAAAGGGGAAGTGTGTTAGTGTGTGCATGAAAGTGCCACAGGCTGAGACGGATGACAGCTCTTTGATTATACAGCACAGTAACTAAGAGCAAAAGAGCATTAAAGGGCCTTAAAAATCATATTCTTCTTGTGTAGTGTCAGATCCCTTTAAGCTCCTCAAGTGACAGTTCTTGTTCAGTTAATTTTAAAAGAAAAACACATCAAAGTGCTGCATAACTTCATTGAGAAACACTTTGGGAATAATTCTGATGTAGAGCAAGATTAAACACTTATGGTCCAAGGCTGGGGCAATAGCCTGCCAAAGTATTCAAACAAACAGGCATTAAATTACCTCTGCGCCTTTGGTTCTGTTGGGTCGGGTACTTGGACCCTGGTATACCAGCTTATGGATCTAGATATTTTGTTTGGCATTCATTTCTCTTAGCAGAAAAACAACATCTGTTTGCAGAACATCTGCATTTGTTTTGTTGCAGAGTGGGGGCAAGTGCAAAAGAAACTTGGGGTGCAACTGGATGTGGCCAAATAATTTTTGTAATGTTAGTGACTTTAGTTTAAGTGGAATCCTGTTGCAATGAAGCACAATCTGGAAAAGCTGATGGTTTTCGTGTGTGTCATTTTGCTATGCAAGTGCTATTTCATGCCAAAATGGTCTCCACAATAGCACTTTGGCCCTTCCGGCTTTGTGAATGCAGAACGATGATAAATGAACTGTGCTCATTTGACACTTTCCAACATTTCTCAACTTTAAAAAATAAACGCCTTCAAAGCACTGCATGCAACAAGTATTGTCAGGAGTCTACAAAGAGAAAAGGTTAAGAATTGAGTTGCTTAGGAGTAATAAATCACTGTTCTTACCAATGGTGGTGATAACAGTTCCAGCAAAGAAAAAGGAGGAACTGAGGTCCCAGAGGCTTGTCTGATTGGATGAATTTCCTGATGGATTTACACCTGCTCGGACTGCTGAAACCACTTGCTGGAGCGGAAAGTGAAAAAAAAAGAAAAAAAGACAGAGAAGTTAGATCACACACTCCCACTGTCTCTCACAGGGAGAGTGGTATGAGGAACATAAGAAAATTAGTGGTGTGCATCAGGTTTCTTGGGGAATAGGTGACAGCCACAATAAACATCCAACCAAAACCAATTAATAGCAATGAGACCAATGAGGCGCTTCTGTCACCTCCATGAAATGAATCAGAAATTTTAAAACTTGTACTTTTCACAAAACAGCAAAGGCCGTCAAGTCCTTTAATGTTCAGGTAATTATAAACATAAATAACATGTAATCATAGAGTGTTTACATCTGCACATTCACATTCATTAGTGAACTTCATTCACAGGCTCAAAATCTTAAAGATCCTCATTTTAGCCCATAAACTAAAAATAGATTGGTCAGTCGTTGGACATGGTCAGTTTAGCCTCATCCCCACTGTTGTCATCTACAGAGTGTAAAACAATGTTCATCAAATCACACAGCGCTTTCTAATGCAGAAATTCATATTATGACCCACTGAGTTTGCATGAATTATATTCAGAAACAAATTAAATGTAATTTGTCTTTCATTCAGTTCAAAGGACACAAAACAGCAGAGTGCATGACTTGTTAGCAGAAGAGAAACAACACTTAGGAAGCCGACAGCCCAGAGTTGATATGTAGTTAACCTGTAATTTTCCAATATGTAGTGTTGGGCCAGTCACTTGAAAATAGTAATCACTTTACTCATTGAAAACATGACTTTTTACCCCGAATGTCAAAGTAATGGAGTGCTTCTGATATTAGCAACTGTACTGTAATTATTTGAAATCCCTCACACTACTCACTACAGGGGAGAGTATGCGTCTTTCACATGTTGCTGCCTAACACTGTTAATGTTAACGGTTAAATGACTCACTCATTTATACCCCAACAGACAAGATAATTTCTCCAATAGACTAATTTTTCCACTATTATCCTCATTGACTGCTGCCATGTGGAGACCGTCAAAAGACATTTATATGCTGGGCTTTAGACTTTGGTTTTAATAGTAATAGTGAGAGTTGGGTTTTTTACACAAAAGAAACAAACTCATAAAAATCACTCATACAGCACACAATACCAGTGTCTTCTACACGTGTTTGCTTTACCTGCAGGTGTGTGACGATGTGACAATAAGAGTTTGCCTGAAGCAGCTTCATGTTGACAGTATCCAAGCAGAGCTTATCTATGAGGCTAGTATGAAAAACCAGAGATATGGATTTCTCCTTTCATTGAAGGTAGATGGGCTGTAATAACTTCTAAGCATCCTGTTGATCCACTAAATCATTATCAAAAAAGAAGAAAGAAACTAACTTCTTCTGGCTACAGAGGGGAAGTCTGACTATGGGTAAGATGTGAAACTAGCTGGTTCTGTATGATGGTGATGAGTATTGCTCAGGTGACTGACTGAGTGTGAGTGTGTGGGAGAGCACTAGGTGCGACACGAGTCTAACCACATCAGCTTTGAGTGTGACAAGCCCTTCTGACACCAGACGGCTGCACGGGAAACAGAACAGCAACATGTTTTCCCACTCAGGGGCTGTGCTCTCATGACAGCACGCAAGAGACAAGTGAAGCCACCAGCTGGAGGGAAAGCACACCAGTGCACGGCTTCTCACACCCACAGTCATCTGAACAAACATGAGGAGCTGCGAGGCTCACAGCCACACACTGGAAAATGTGCATAGATGCTATTGTGTGTTTGTACTCTAGTATCTAATACAGGTTTTATGATCTCACACTATAATGATCTCCTGACTAGATTAACTGTTCTATAAACTCCGGTCCCTAAACAGCAACTGTCCAATCCAAGCATAGCAACCATAGCTTGTCACAGCAGATCCTGTTAAGCTTTAGGTCTCTCCATATGTTCAAGGGGTTTGCAAAATAAAAATGACAAAGATACTTAATATTTAAAAAAGTTTTGAGTGTGTCAACTGTTTTTTTGGTGTTTTTTTGTTATAAACAGTGTGTTAATCTGCTCTAATATAAGCGTGCCCGGCTAACTAGCTTACTACCTACAGTAGTAAATAAGCATTACTTTAAAAGCTAAGGAGCACATCTTAACCAACTAACCTATGGTAGTTTGTGGGGTTGCAGGTTGTGTAAAAAAACTAGCAAGCTTTTTGAAAAAGACTAGCATGTCCACTGTGCTGTGTGGAAGCTGCTCCTGAATGCGTCTATATCAGAGTTGAGGCCAACATTTGTTCTGTCGTACTTTTGATTAGACTTGAGGAAGTTTACACTCCAGCAATGTTACCAGAGATGGAGTTGTGTTTACCAAAAACACTGACCAGTCCTCATCCTGCAAGCCTTATCAATTCAGTATAGTGAAAATAGACTCTTTGAAATTGACTTCTTTTTTGCATGGGACATGTCACTATCCTCAGTCTTTTAGCATGACAACATATATGAAGCCATCAAGTCAAGGGTGTAGGTTTGGTCTCACCATTGGTAGGAATGCAAGAACCCCACCACCCCTCCAAAACAAAGACGACCTTTTAATGCTGTCAACCAAATGGTTTATTAACATACAAAATCTGAATTTACATTCAGAAATGTATTTATATTCAACTAAAAATATACAATATCAGATCAAAGACTTAGGACTAGTATATTATAATGAGCTAACATTGTTGTATTAGACTACATCAGCTTTAGATGGATGTTTCTAATAAATTGCCAACTGAGTGTATATTAGTAATTGTCAGTTGTATGCACTGGCTGCCTGACTGGAATTAATTGGTTGATTTCAGTGCTGTCCTCACCTGTGCAATGATTCACCTGGCATCCTAAAGATGCTCTTTAATAGTTTTATCATATACTATCATCACCATGTAACATGTTTTACCTCTCCCCTTAAAATGTAACTTAACACGTTCACTCAAAGATATTTTAACTGACTTACTCCAGCACCCAGAGCTCTCTGCTTCTCTTAGCGACTTTCACTAATTCAACGTTGTTCATATGCTATTGAGATGCTAGTTGCGTTAGCTTAGCAGTTAGCGATAGCTTTTCTCCCTCTCTCTTGCTCGGTGTGGCTTGAACCAACAGATGAACTTGTTCATCAGAGTGTGGTGTTGTTGTAACTTCAGTGTAGAGGATTGTGATGTTTATTACATCTTCAGTAATATCTGTTCTCTTACCTTCGACACACAGCTCTGCTAGTAAACCGGAGCGACCCTCGTCCGTGTACACAGCAGCCTTCAGCCGTTAGGCTATTACTCGTGACGTCTAACCAATCAGATGGTGCTGTGGGCGGGACATTTCTCCAGCTCACAGGGTGGAAACTATATACCAGGGACAGGCAGCTGCATAAGAGCCAAAGTAGCGCATTTTAAAATGTACTTATTTTATCGATTATCGGCCAAAAAAGATAACGATACTGTGCCCATGCCTAGAGTCGAGTCGACTTCACTCCAAACATCAAATATTGGTAGACAATTCTGTCCTGCCAAAATATTGGTAGGGACATGTTCCTACCGTCCATATGCAAACCTACGCTCTTGCATCGAGTACATTTTTAGGATTCTACAGCTGGGGTCTGTTTCAACCAACTCATGGTGCTAAATTTATCTTAATTAGTTAGCTATCTACAGCTGCTAAAACCTACAAGCGACAATCATTATTACAGCTGACAAACCTGGTGGTCGCTTGATGCAAATGAAAAGCCTACTTTTGTCTACCTCTGCTTGAAAACAAGGAACAAGTGTTGCAGAAATAGCTGGGAATTTCGAGTGGTAATTCTATGTCAATTGCATGTGCAACTGAAAGCTAGCAAGACAAGTATATGATAAGTGCCTCTGAATGCTGGGTTTTTTTGTTTTTTTTAAACTTGACTGTGGCTAACACAGTCCAGTTCACTGCAGTAACAGCAAATGTTTCTTGGTCCAAGTGGCTTCTCAAGATACGGAATCATTACTGAGACAAATGAGAGAGAAAAGCTTTGAGACCTCAGAACGACATGCACACGAATACTTTACTGGACTGAAGCTTTTATTTCCATTTTTTCCACTTGAGATAAGATGATTCTTTGTGGTACACTTTAATAAATGTAAGACTTGTTCTAGTGAAGGAGTAGTTCCTCTTGATGATATCCATTATTTGTAGTCAATATCAAAAAACCTCCTGGAACAGAGTATTAATAATACAATGATGTACAGCGTAAATCACTGCTCACACTCCTGAACTAGCACTATCAGCTTTTTCCACACACACACACACACACACACACACACACACACACACATACAGAGTTTAGGTCACTGCAATGTCAGGGTGTTGTCTGTTACGATCCATCATTCTTAGCGAAAACTGAGAGAGCTTTCATTAACCTACGACTGGTGCCTGTGATAAGGCAGTAAAGACCGAGGGTGTTAGACGTGAAGTGGGTGAATAATGGATTGGAAATGGAGGGAACGGGCACTAATGTAACAACACTGTTAACATGACATGACAGGTCAGAAGGTGGAGGGATACGGGCTGATGAATATTGTTACGTTGTAATCCGAGGCTTACGAGTGTTGCTTATCCATACAAGCTGATATACACAAAGACATAGACAACGGCGTGGTTCACTTATATTACAAAAGAAAAAAAAAATATGTTCTCAACTACCCAGTCCAGTATCCTGGGAATTACATTCATGCTGGATGATTTCAAACTCACTCACAGCTTGCAAGTGTTCAGTGCCAATCCAGGAAATAATGTATAAATAATATATAATACAGGAAATAGACACAATAAACATTATGTAGAAAGGTGAAGTCATCAATAGTTCAGTGTTTTTGTCATGATTCGTCTGGTGCTCTCATTCATGTCTCTGGACCGACCGTCCCTACTCTTACTATTCCTGTCTCTGCCCTGTTTATTTTGGCCTCCATATCCAAGGCTGTGTCCGAAATCACTCACTACTCCCTATGTAGTCCACTATATAGGGAGTTCGCTATTTTCTAGTGCTG